ATGGAGCGGCGTCCGATAAGAGTTTGGCTCCTCTTTCCGGGAGGCTTGGCTGTGTCCAGGCCAAACGGCGGCCTCGACACAAACGTCGCGCCGTTCTGATAATCCCTGTACTTCTCAGGTCCCCGTGATATCGAGTTAGTCTTCATGTTCGCAGCAGTGTTTAACTTCTTCTCGAAGAGATCGTCGTAGTTCGATTGTCTGGTTTCTTGAAAGCTCTTGCGTCCTGTTTCGTCGTCGCATACTTTTATAGGCAGGCTGACCGTATTTTTCGAGTGTCTACAGTCGATTCGTAACTTCTTAGTACGTTGACTACCCAGAGGGCCACCGCCCATTGGCTGTCGTTTCTGATTCTCGTGTAGAAATTGTTCGCCCGGTTGTGTCGCCGTATTCATGTATTCCGAATAGAGCGTGTTCAACATAGCGGGTGAGAGGGCAAAGAATACAGTCTGTAGCTCCCTAGGCTCTCTGATCATATCGTCGATCAACATACCAGCTGGTGTCCACGAGGAGATCCGTGGTTCGTCGTTCAATAGCAACCAGTTGGACAGGTCGTCTCGGTGAGAGGCCTCGGGAGGATATATCCCGAAGTGCAACAGGTTATTGCCTACCGAGTTTAGCTCGCTCTTCTTTCTGATCCCGCTACCGTGCCGGTAGTCCTGCTCCTGTGCACCCTGCGTGATGATCGCCGGACGATTCCCCAGGGCCAGGTCCACCCCTTGTCCCACGTACGTGAGAAGCCAGAACATGCACACCACCATCATATATGTCACAATTTTCGCCGGATTTAACCGGGCTGGCTTTCGAATCGATTAAAAATTAAGTGTCTTTTGTTTCTCTCCTCTTCTTCTTTTCTCTCTTCTTGAATCGATTCTTTATGTAGCTCCGCCTTTGCTACTTTTTCTTCTTTTTTTTTCGTATGTTGTTTCGTTTTTAGCGCTTTTTATTGTACCGCGCTCGATTTTCGTTTGCCAGTCAAAAGGTACGACGCTGAGAGTTTAGGCCGACTTTTCGTTAGCTGTGCAGGGGGAGGAAGCGTTTCTGTAGGGAGCGACTTGAGGGAAGAAAACGCGGACGATGAGCGATGACCGGCGATCAATCGATAACCGTGTAGGCATCCGTTACATGGGAAACGAAACGTTTCTTAAACGCGTTCAACTACTTTTATTCTATCTCTCGTTTTTCTACTTTGCTGCTTTTCTTCTTTCATCGGACACTCTTCTAAATCTTCGGATATAATCGGAATAGGGAGATCAATAAGAACATCACCTATTCTATTCTCTTTCGATTCCCTTCTTCTCTTCGTTTCTCTTCGATTCGACTCGATTCGGTTGGCGATCGTTGCACAGTCCACGATCGTGTCTCGTTAATGTCGCATTTCCGAAAATTCCCGACGATTCGTTCCACTCAATGTCAACAGAGACTCTCGAGGATTTCCGCGTCCTGAAATCAGGCCGTTAGTAAAAAAAAAAGGATGGCTCTTAGTCGACACTAAGGCGTGTGTCTGGAGAATAATATGCAGTGCCAGTGATGAATGGTGCTGGTGCTGGTCGTGGATGCTTATTAAGGTGCTCGATAGTGTGGGCAACAACGAAATTCGATTTTTCTCCTGGTCCTCCTGCTCTTACCCCTGTCCTCTCTCCCTGTTGCCTGCATCGCGATTCTTTCTCTCCTCTGTCACTATTACAACATACTACTCTCCACCTTCTGATCCCTCTACTTTCCCCGGTAGAAATCGAAAGTCCAATTTCCAGGATCCACGACCACTTACGGTCCCTTGGTTGCGTCTGCAGATTCTCTATACTGGTTTCTGTCTTAAATTAGACACTTACTGTCCTCGATGACGTCATAGAAAACTGCTTTCTATCTCTGGTTTCCATGCTGTCGAAGGGCCTCGTGTGTCGGTTCACGGTGCTTGACTTTTGGAAGTGCTTGTGTGCCAGTGAGGCGTTATACGAGATTCTACGTGCGGTGTGACACGGCGTGCAGCGGTGACATCGAACTCTCCGAACGACTTTAAAGTGCGGAAAAATGGCTATGTAGTACGAGAGAGATCAACAGGTGCCCGAAAAATGTGCAAAACCGTGCTCCTGGTTTAGGGAGTGAGGGAGTGGGAAGGAAGGGGATTAATTAAGGCGCCGGACGACACAGCTGGTCGTCGTGACGTCGAAAACACCGAAGGAGTAGAAGAACATAGTACGCACATCGATCATACAGTGATAGAGTGTGACACAACACAGGCGGCGCGTGTGAACAGAGAGAGAATACAATATATATATATATATTATGTGCACGTATATATAGAGAAAAAAGAAAGTTATCGGGCAAAGGTGCAGTTGCGGAACATTACCCAGTGTATTAACAGAATATAATGTGTTTACATATGATTTAACGTATGTTTCTGTGCGAAATACTTGCTTCTGTGACTGCGTGCTGCGATATCTTCGCCCTTCTGCGCCTCCTTCCCACCGTGGGACCTTTTCTCATGCGATACGACTAACAGATAACCTTCCCTGCCAAGTTCAAATCTTCCGTTTCCCGTCGCACATAACACTCTTCTTCTTCTTCTTCCTCGCAGTTCTCGCACGTAAAATCCTCCAAAGTCTGATCGATGATCGTCGATACTCTTTGAACAACTTTCAACGACCTTCTACTCGTGGAAACTCGTTTTACAGTCAATTACAATACCCGTAAACGTACTCGTGTTTAAACTTGGTTTATTCAGCGGCTAGCTTATTCTTGCCGTGACGGGCTACCGTTTCATCCAGTTTGTTTATCACCGACGGACCGGATCACGCGAAAACAAAATGGTGCGAACACCAGTCCACTAACGTGTTGCTGGCTGTCGTTCGCTGATACTCGTCATCCACGACGATGACGTCGAGAACGTCCGGTTAAAAACGCGTCGATCGACGTAACCACGGGGACCAACCTGTTTCCTTCTTTCTTTCTAATCTTGTTATATCCCGCTGCCTCGTACTATTCGTTGCTCGTTCGAACCTCTTCAAAAATGAATTCACTTTCTTCTACTATTCTTCTATGCTCAGCTGTTACGTTCTCTTGCTACGAGTTTGTGTTGCTCGCATGCTCGCCTTTGCCGCGAGCAGAGTATACGTAACGTACGTATACACGTAGGTTCTGGGAGACGCGAGAATGCCAAAGAAAAGTTGTTCGTTCCCTGTTTGTTAAATGGTCACCGATTTCTTTTCCTTTCTCAGTACGTCGTACGGTATTTAGACGCGGGCCGGGCAGGAAGTCGCGTAAAAACAGCGGCTGCGGAGTCGGTAATAGGAGGTTGCGACCGTGGATGTTGCTTTATTGGCCGAAAGTCGAGGGATGGAGGATCGAAGGGTTGGGACGGTGGGTTTAGCGAGTGAGCTGGCTGGCGCCCTCACCAGAACTAACTCCCACGCTGCGCGGCAAGAGTCACCGGGTTTAATACACCGCGCATCTCCCTACCACCCCATCGAGACACCTGCCGTTCTCTTCCCTTTTCACCCCCGGACTCTAACGCTGCTAACCCGGCCCCGGCCACTCCGTGCATCGTTCACGCTTCCGTTCCGCAACGAGTCGCACACACCGGCCAACACTTGTGCCTTTTCCTCCCTCTGTCTCTCTTTTTCTCTCCCTTTCTCTCTCTCTCTCTTTTATTTTCCTTTGTTTTGCGTTTCTTTTTTTTTCTGTTCGTTTTAACGTGCTTTTCGAATCCAACTCGCGCGTGATTCTGTGGGTCTTGGATATGTCTGGGTCTTGAAAAAGAGGTCTTTTATGGAGAGAGGTTTTATAGCGGGCGAGTGGCGGGCGGCAGACTGCTGCCTCCATGTAGTCACCGTTTCGCCAACTTAACAGCTGTTGCGGGTAAATGTGGGCAACTTGCAAAAGAAATTGAATCAGACGGTTGTCGAGTGATGGCTGGTCTCGAGGACTTTTTGGTTGTGGTAGGTTGGTTTATGAGACGATTGAGTCGAAGATGATCTCATTGGATTCATAAAATATTTTATGAATGAAGTTAATAAGCAAGATCGTAAGACAATTACCTGGGATTATCGGCTAGTTAGTTTGGCAAATGCATATTTATTCGATTAATTTCATCTGTTTATGAAAGAATATGTTGTTTTGGTTCTTTGGTTATTAAGGTTTTGGGATGTTGTGCTGCTAGATAGACACTTGGGATGATTTATTACGATGATATTTGTTAATTGCGTGTCCAAACCTGTTTGTCTATTTGACTCGGTAAAATTTGTTTAATTGTTCTTACTTTTTTCAAATAAGTACCTTGAACTTAACAATAATTTGTTAAACCATTAAATCGAATAATTATTACATATTTAAACAGCCTTGTAAAATACCCTGTTGAATTACTATAGATAAAGGTATAATCGTGTAAATGTAAATTAGGTAAATGCGTGAAGTAGCTTAGAATGTAGATAAAATAGAACATATAAATAAGATACAAGTTCTAAAGAAAGATAAGGATCCACAAAACGGGTTACTATTAATAGTTTTGTTTCTGTATGCATAGAATAAATGGCTTTGGTGTTTGGGAAGAAGTTTAAAGATATTGATCTGTGGGTGTTTAAACTGCACTAGCTAGTCAACCCACGTGAAACGGAGGTGCTCGATGTGTTATTACAAATTCTATCTAATAAATATCTCAGCCAGAGTTTGATAGCCAGCGATATTTCAACGATGAATATTCTGACAGCATAAAAGCGATATGTATATAACCAAATCGTTGACACTTTCATTCAACATCGAATCGTATATGCTAGTGGAAACGGATTTTACAAGTGAAATATGCGTGTCACGACAAGTGTGAATGCAGACAAGCAAGATTCGAATACACGTGGCTACCGTGATTGATGAGCTGGATGCTCATTCAATGTTGCACTCTCTTTACAAAGTTCAACAAACTGTTATTTACTCTGCTTTCGCGGAAAGCTCGTAAGGAAGTCAGCAAATACGATCGTCGGGGTTGGTTGATAGACATCTCGGGAGGATTTAATGGCACGAAACAATGGCTGGTTAGATTAATGCATCATTTTAATAGCCCCAACGAGTCAGACGATGATTGTCGAAACACTTCGCTTTAACGTGTTGTGAAACATTCTGCTGGTTTGATTTCTAGTTAGGAATCGAGTATTTTATACTTTTTTTTATACCGCCAGTACAAACTTGAAGATAAAATATCTTTCTTTGAAACTGATTTATTTGAAATATCGTTTGGTGAAAATTTATTGAATTGTTTATTTTCACTGCTTGTGGCAGTGCTTTGATCTAAAGAAACCTAAATGTAGAAAAATATATAAAAAATATACTTCACTTGTATAGTACATATAGTTTAATGAAGATCGGCAAAATTATTTGTATCTTTTGATTTATTATTTAGTCTATTAAATTTCCTAGATTATTTTCATTATTTAATTTAGAAAAATTGTTAAATAAATTTCTGTTATTTGGTATAATAACGCAGTATCGAGCGAAGAATTATTATTTAGTGAAACTTTATAAATAATTTGTTTGAGAAAAGATCGCAATCATATTGAACAATAAAATTCACTATACTTGTTACTAATCATTCGTAAAAAATATTTTCGCAGTTTTTCTATATTGTAGATGTTTATATACAAATGTTTTGCAGAAATTCATATTTTCACAGAGCACGAATAAAAATATGTTTTCCCTTTACATTTTTCATATTTACACTTGCGATAAATGCATAAACAACCGCAGCTGGCTTATACTCTCATATTTACTTGCTTCCTGTAATTCAAAACCAACTTCCATTGAATTTGCTAAATTGTTCGCTAGCCACGAAACTTCAGTTTCTTGTGTTCTTGAGGGATACCTTTACGATCAAGGGAAGTGTCAACATGTTATGAAGTACTCATAAAATCCAATAATTAGAACAGTTCGACTAAGTTTCCATACCACAGTGCCATAGAAGAGAACTTCCTTATTTTGATAGCACAGTTACCACGCTCGTCATATTTGATAATAGTTAAATTTGCAAGGTTTCACGCTTTACTCATGTAGCATAATTATGTTACGGGTGAAACGTGAAATTTAAATAAATCTGATTTTAACCTGACAAAATATAAACAGTCAGACATTTTCAGACAATATTTAGTCGAGACATAAGATAATATTTTTTCGGACGATATTTACAAGATAATATTATTTTAGATAATATTTACAAGGCCGTATTACTTCAGACAATACAACACGAGAATAACATTAATATCGTTTAAGTATAAGATTATGTTTAGACAAAACGTGTAGATAAAAGAATCGTATCTTGAAGCTACTATTATGCCTTTTTTCGAAAAGTTTCTACCACCAAAAAAAGAAAAAGGCAGCTGTTAGGCTAACAAAATTTCGTTTTTGAAAGGAATAATTTTCATTTTTTCAATCTACTGTTTCTTCGTTAATATTCGTATTTCCGTTTTTCTCTCATTGAAGTGGCTTCTTAAAACACTGATATTGTGTTTTGCAACGTAAGAAAGGAGGAAGGAGAAGATCGGACGCTACTTTATGGAATATAAAGAAATCGAGATATCCTCTGTTCTGCTTATTTATACTTTGAACATGGCTTTATGGCTTAAAGGTTACGCCAAGGCGTTCATTCTAAAGCGATCGCTTAGGTGGATTTTCTTGGTTTTCATGCTTTAGCGTTACGACGGTCCTTCACTTTCATATTCACGCAAACACCGTTTCTATTCTTATTGTTCTCCACGAAGGATGTTTCGTTGCCTTCAATATATTTTTCCTATCAAAGTTGGCGATAACGAAACTTCTATCCATTTGTTTCCCGTCATATACAAAAGAACACCGGTTACCCGGTGAATAACGAATAAGTTTTTTAAACGTATTATAATGAAACACAAAGAAAAGGAAGGTGTAAAGGAAAGATCGAAAAATTGGTAGAATTAAATGCAAAACGATTGTTAAATTGTTAATGCTTATACAGATTCACAAAATAGCGGAATATAAATAGAAGTCTGTTTCATACTTTCAGTTCGCAATGTACAAATGTTTCTTCCTTTTAAAATAATTAAATTTGTTTACAATAAAATGAATATGATGAAAATGGATGTGATCCTTTATAAATAATATAAATTTTATATGTTTTACATTACGTGTATGATATATATTTTTTTAATATATGTTTTAATATAAGCTTGGATTTATATTATACATGTCAATGGCTAAAATAATGAAACTGTCAAATGTCAGATAGATTGACTATGCTATGCGGTTAAATTTCATAATCTTACTTTGCTCAAGATATTCTGCATATTTTTGCACATTGTTTGTGCTCCGCAATTATTAATTAAGAACTCAAAATATGAGAGTTTCTCTTCTGATATCCTTTTTCGATATTATTCCTTTTATATTGTATAAGTAAGGAGTAGAAAACAATATGCTAGATATTATTTTGGTCAAGACATCTATTTTCTTTTAAAAGCAACGATTTTCAATCATAGACAATTTTTAATTGTATTTATTACTGTAAACAATAATTTCTATGTTATATAATTCGTTAATAAATAAAAGCGATCCAAACGATCTTTCTGTATTATAATAAACTTATATTATATTATAATAAATATATTTATATTATATTACATTATAATAAATTTTCTCTGCATGTATATTACATTTTCTCAAACATCGGAAGAGAAATATATGTTTATGATGAATATTTATAAATACACTGCTCTTAATTCATCATTTTTACAAATATTTACTGTAGATTGTGAATCGTTATTTTGTATTGATATAAGATTCTGATCGATTAAATTTTCTCGCTGACAATCTGGACCAATTATCATGTTTTGTATGAAACCAGCAGATATTCGAATATGTGATGTGTTATTGAATATTCCGTTAAGCTTCGGAAAACATCATTTGAATAAAATCATTCAATATACAATCAGCACACATAAAGTGTTCAAGTGTAATTTTTCAATTATTTTAATCCTTCAATTAATCTTCCAACGACATATAAAGCTCGAAAAAAGTTTGGCCTACAACACATATCGACAATTCTATCAATTTCAATTTATTTTACTATTTCGCTCCACGGATCATTTAATAAAAACTACACAATTAACGTAATATTTAATTCAATTTTTTGTCGAAACGTGAAATATCCATATAATTTTTGAATTAATTTTCCATTGATGAAATTTGAATGGAAATTTTTTCGATAAATTTTTTCGACGAAATTTTAACTTTCGACATAAATCAACAATTCTGTCAATCTCAATTTGTTCCACTAATCTAGTCCATCGCTTATCGAATGAATTCGATAAGATGAATAAATCGAGACAAAAACTTTGAAACAATATATAATAAATATAATGTAACATTTAATTTAATTCTTGCCACAGAATGGCAAATACGCGCTCTCGATTAATTTTCTATCTATTATAAAATTTCCATGTGTGTGTAAATGTCAATTTCCCTGGAAAAATATTTCGATTTTACACGCAATTCTACCAACCTCCATGTTTTTTGTTTAATTCTACTCTATCGATCACCGAATGTAGATTGACACAGAAAGTTCGAAATATACGATCAACACAATATTTAATGCCATTGTTTCCACGGAATACAACACGTAACTTTCCTATTTATTTTCTATTGTAAAATCTTCTCTGGTAAAATTACGATGAAAATTCTATCAATAATTTTTCCCCAAAAAGCTTTCGATTTCCGACACAATTTTACCAATCTCAACTTATATCTCCTTATCCTTCTTCATCGATCACTCGAACGAAGAATGGATCGATCCCGAAGACTTCGAAGAGTTCCACGGCTTGGTTCATGCATAATACAATCGCATTTTTCCTGATAGATTCTGTTCGAACATATGCCTGATTGAATGCAAACCTTGCTGGAAAATTGTTACGTAAGCGTTCCGTTACAAACTCTACGACGTTTCAAAATTCAATCCGTTTATTTATCAAAGAATCTGTGCACCATGACATGCTACGTGCATATTTTATATAAATATGTTAGCACGCCTGTATATTGTTGCCCTGTAAGTATAATACGATGTGATGAAAGAATTACGATCAGTACTCAGAATACGCCATAAACGCTTTTGTATGTAACGCCTTAGATAAATTTAACATGCCAACTTTTTCTATAGGAAAATACTTTTACACGTGTGGTTCGTATTGACAGACGTATTTCGCGCGTAGTATGAGGGTGCACCGTATCGGAACTCTTTGAAACGATTCCAATCGTACGAAATATAACATTTATGGTTCTTCGAGTTCCGTATTTCCCGCGTAGTACGGGAATACACTGTATGTATTGGGATTCTTTCAAGTGTAACTCATGTTTCAATCGTGGTTTTATTAATACGAAAAATTGTTCGGGTTTGGTCTGATAAAGTGAAATGTCGGAACAAAAGCACAACGTATTAATAAAACCACGATCGAAACTCGAAGACACACAAACGTGTCATCTATTCGCCGTGAAAGTTTAGATGCTGAAATATAGTTCAAATAAAACTATTTCATTTCTTTTTGGCCTTTGATCTTATCTTATGCAACCATATGTAATCGATGAAAAAAATACTTGCTGTTAATTAAAATAAATAAAAGAGCAAATTTATCCTGCGAGGATTCTGGAAATCAATTCATGATCCAAACTTTGAGGATCTATATATAGCAATATCCAAAACTTCCTCCAAATCCGACGAAAACCTAAGTACCCAAAGTTTACACATCGGAAAGGGAACACGTAACGTTAACGGCGATCATAATTTTTTCCGCAAAGGATACAAGGCCCGTGTACCTCGTTCGCTATCGATTTCGAGCTCGCAGCCTGGCTCACAAAGTAGCTTCCATAACCATAAAAATGATATTCAGGGGGGAAAAAAGTAGCTGAAAGAAAAAAAGACCCATCGACAATGTCATTATCGTGGTTTTATGGCGTGGTAGACGCCTTCCGTCCGCGGGCGACTAAAAACAAATTTCCAGATTAACAGGATGGTTCGGGTGATCGTCATTGATCGCGTCATCACAGCCTTGTGGGCGTTTTACGGCGTGTCCGCAATGTTCCTAAACGTCGGCCCTGCGCCATGGGTGCGGGAAGCAAAAGAAAGGCTATAACGCTGGATGGTGAACGTTATGCAGCAGAGGGTGGTGGGTATACGATGTTTCGTCGCAGAATGAACGTGCGCAGTAACTTTAATTAACCGCGTACTCTGTGCCTGGTCTAATCAACACGTTAACTGTCAAGGTGGTCAATCATCGTTGACCCGTGTTTTACGAAATCTCTTAGAACGAATTGAGTGAACTTTTTTTTTTGAACGCGCAATCCTTGGATTCTTGGAATTACATTAGTTACGTTTGCACCGTATTTTTAAACATGGGATATTTAAATTAACAGGCATTCGTAGGTAGTCTGCGAAGTGATTTCGCGAAATGCATTTGATTTGAGGAAATATTTGAGATGTACAAAGTGTAGTACTTTGTAATGCGATGCTTATTAGCTGAAACGATTTTCTACCGAGGTTCTACTTTTTTAATTATATCCCCCAAAATATGAATTTACGTAAAAATTCGCAAAATTTAATGATTAAAAAATTAAGATAAATTTCATGGTCTATAAAATGTTGAACAATGTAAGTGACTCAGATAGGATTTTTAGTTAGTTTAAACAGATCGTCATTTTTCAATTAGTATGATATTCTATACGATAGAGATAAACAATTAAGACGTCTGAATGATTGAAAATATCATTAATACTTCAATTGCTGTAGGCTATCGATATTTATATCGCTTTCTCAGAGATTAAAATCATTTGCTGAAGGAGTGGATTGTGATGTGAAATAAACGAGGTTGGTTCCTTTGATAGGTTCTATTTGGACATGGTTTCGGTAATGGCTTCAGTATCGATTTTTAGAGTACAGAATACAGAATTTAAGGCTCCCCTAAATGTAAGATTGAAGGCTGGAGGATCGAAAAATCAATGTTTAAAAATGTAAGGTTTAAGATTTATTGTCTAGAGACGTAAAGCTCGCAATTTTCAATTTGATGTTAGGACATCAAAGTTGAAAATCAAAGGACAAAAGTCCAAAGTTCTAAATCGAAGTTTAATAGTCAAAAGGACAAGTCGAAAATCGAAAATTAAGGCTTAAAGATTAAAGGATCAAAGTCGGAAAACCAAAAGCCTAAAGTTGAAGAATGAAAATCTAACGTTACAAACTATTTCAGCATCAAAATATCGAATGCAAAGAATACATCTTTTATCCTTAAAAATTACAGATCAAAGCTCGTTTTAATCTTTGAATTTAAAACGAATCGACTAGACTGCAAAGTCTAAAAAAATACAAATTTCCTAATTGACAAAATTTTGAACAGTTTTTTATATTTAGACGAATCAAAAGCTTGTATTTTTTCTATGCTTAAACGAACAATATACTTGAAGAATCCAAAGTGCAGAAGATTGAAAATACAGAACCCGACTAAGAAATTATTATTCGAATACCTTATGTTCAAGAGTATAATGAAAGAATAACAAATATAAGCCTAAGAATGCGACATAGTAGAAAAATAAGTGAACGTAGTAGAAAATCTTGAAATTTGAATATTTTATGCTTAACCAAAGAATAACTAAGTGTTCAGCTTATAGGATCCGAAGTTCAAAGTTTCTGTGCTTAAAATTAGAATGTGAAATTCTCAACTAAGAGTTCTTCACATTTTGATCTTCCACGCTTAACCCATATAATTTTAACAATGCGAAGAATTTTATAGAATTCAAAATACAAAACTTCACCGATCAAATCACATGAAATTCGTTGAAAATTATAAAACATCAAATAGTCTCTAGCCGAATGAACGATATGAAAATAACGAACATCCAATAAACAGTCATCACTTAATAATACCTTTCATCGAGTCATCTTCCAATTTTCCCCTTTCAGTAGTAACCAAGAACTTGCCACTTACCATTGAAAATCCCTTCTATTAGCGAAATCCGATTACATCGTGGAACACTGTGTAGCTGTTTACTAATCAAT